TAAAACATGGTGAAATCATGTTGAAAATGTGTTGAAATTTAAAATAACGAGTATGTGATCCAGGAAAGAAAAAAAGGTACTTTCCCCTTTATTCCAATTTTTACTCTACTAAATATGTATTTTTTAATGGCAAAAAGTTGTGAAACTATCCTATGTTCTTTTGAATCTAAATACTTTAGCTCTGTACTTTCTGTGTATGAAGAGCACAACATTAATAATTGCAATATGGAATTCTGATCCTTTTGCATTGTTCAGACCAAACAAATATAAACTGCTTAAACAAGCAAGTTTAGCATTTAATAACTGCTCCAGCTAGTATTGTACCTGATGGGAATATTTCCAAAGATTCCAGTAGTACAGAGTTTGGTCTGTAAACTATGATTCCTGTAAGCAGGTAGGCAAGGACACGGCATTTAAAACTTTTCATTACCTTTGGTGATTCTCTCCATAAATATATGGATCCCTGCACAGATTAGATTATAGAATCAGATTTTTATCTTTAAATGCACTGAACCTCTACATTTAACTCTATTTCTAATTGTAGAAATAAATATTTAATGCTTAATTCACATAATGGAAGTCAAAATCCTTGTAGAAGGATCCTCTGCTCTAATGACACCACTTTCATAAAAATGTAATACCGTTATAGCAAGAAAAAGCAAGAAAACAACTAGAAAGCAGTCACTCTAACTGACTATACTATATCACCATTTTCCAGACTGAAAATTTGTTTTTCTTCTTCTCATCTCTCCTTCTGCTTCAGTTCTATTATTCTCAAGGTACATGGACAAAACTGACACATTTTAAATGTTCTTAGTATAAGAATGTGACACTGTACTGTGTGTAGGGTACTGTAGGGTACGGCGGTCGGAAGATCTCGCGATGGACGGAAAGAATAGTGGAAAGAATAGGGGAGATGGGCATGTGGAATAGGAAGAAAGGTTGGCCAGGGATGAAAATGATAATGCTGATTACTTGCCGCTAATTACTTGATGGACTAAAGGATTTTCTGAGGCCAACCAATATAGGAGGCAATGTTAATGCTATGGGCTACGGGGTGTGCCTCCACACACAGGTGCCCTACATAAGTTTGGATGTCACAGGTGCCCTGTATAAGTTTGGATGTGTTAGTGAATAAGTGCCAAGTGCTGCATCCACCATAGTGGTGTGTATGCTCATTTGGCCCGGGTTCCTGGGCGGTGGAACCCGTGCCTGCTCGATGCGTTGAGGCAATTGAGGCCGAAAGGCAGCAACTGTGTTAACTGAAGTATTTTGGAAAAAAAAATAACAAGTGTTATAAAGCAGTCATGAAACAAGGACATTCCCTTTAGCAATAAAGAGTCTCACCAAATCCATGCACAAAAAAAAAAAAAAAAACAGAGTAAGAATCTTTGCAACCTTTCTAGAAAATTTTTACTGGACTCAGAAGTGCTGTAATACTCTTGGAGTCTGTATCCCTCATCTTCTCCCTTTCTCTTCATTGCACCAATGCAAAACCCAGATATCTTGGAAAAGATTTCTGCTAAATCTTAAGAGAACAAAGCAAAAAAGTGTCTGATCAATAAAGGTATTGGAGCATTTTCTAAACTAGAGATCTAATAGTAATCATCAGGCGTATGAAAGTGAAAAAAGCAAATGAACAAACAATGTGTACATGTAAAATAAATAAATACATAAAGATAAAGAGACGGAAAGAATGCCACAATACTTGAATCACTGCAATTTAAGAAAAATTTTCCTTGAAATTAGTTTTGCATTTTTTTATTTTATCTTATGCAGGTAGCATATATAAAGTCAAAGAGATCTTTCTTATCCCCATTAGAGCATTTAAATTTCTTTTAAGACAGAGTAAGAAGCTTCTCATGACCTAAATGATGGATTAAGGCATCTGTGCAGACACCACTTCTATAGTCAAGGCTCTGAAGAGAAAATGTGAAAACTATGCATGTAGACCTTTCCTAATTAGGCTCATGTTTTAATATATCTATTCCCAAATATTCCAGCAACATACACAATAGAATATAATTCCTTCAGTGGTTGAGGAAAATATCCCAAAATACTGACACTAAAAGTAGGTTATAAATGCCAAATGACTCCTACCAGAATCCTTACTTTATACTTAATACATATTTTTTCCTGAGTAAAAAATGATTTTTAGGGAGTATATATATTCTTATACAGGTTAAAAAAAAAATCTTTAACTTTTCAGTAAGGAATATACTCTTGAGATTGCTCACTGATCTAAAGATAACAATGCATATATATTTGTGGAATCAGGGCTAGGTCTTGGAAGTGTGACATAGGGCGGTATGTTTAAAATTGAGCCAGAAGAGGACTATTGAATACAAATATTCTTGAACTTTAGAGAAATTCTAATATGTATACGGATTTAGGAATCTCTCTGGTGATAATTTCTGTTTGTTTCCAACCTTTTATGCAGACTTGACACTATGACTATCTACTTCATCTCAAAGACTCTTCAATTTTTATCTATATATATATATATACACACACACACACACATATATTCTACTTTATATGCAGCATAGAATGAAATTTAAAATGACTAGTTTTATATCACTATCTGTTCATTCACTATCTGGGCTCATTCAGGGTTCATTAATTTTCCTGTAAAATATATTTGAAGATTTTTACTGTTCTCACAGGAACCTTTGTCCTCTGACACTGCTCACCAAATGTTCAATTCTCAGGGAGCATTTTTGCTTTTAACTCCATAAAAATTTAGAGAAATTTGAAGCTGTTGTAAAGCATTTATCAACACTTCTCCAATCTTGCACCCTAACATAATTATTGGCAAACAACAACTTATTATATACTAGAATAAGTGATTTTTCTCAGAAAAATGGCACTTGCTTTAGGAAAGTCTTTCCCACAGTTACAAAATATGACCATTTCAAACCTCTGCTGGCTAGTCTTCTGTCTTGGGAGCTCGAGTCACTCTTAACAATACACAGCTTTGCTTTGCCTTTATTACTATGTTTACAGTCACTTCCATCCTCTACTGGGTCATCCTGCAAAATAAACAGTTTTCTTTGGAGAGTCTGGCTGAACTGGTATCTTCCCAGTGACACTTAATGGCTATTCCTCAATTTCTTCTATTTGTCCCAAGTCTGAAAAATTTACATCTGGATGTAGTTTTTAGAAAGCCTTGAGGAAGTGGAAGGTGAAGCTAAACACTGAGTATCACCAGGATGACTTCTGTTTCAGAATGCTTCTGCACGATCAGAAAGTACAGAAAAGCTTTGTCTATCCTGTGAAATGGGGCACCGTGCAAAAATATCTTAGCACGTGATGGCCCAAGCTGGCAAATCCACATGGATCTACCTTACTTGTAATGCTGTGAACACTTTACCAGCTTCAGGCTGAATACATTCCAGCTGCATTATCCTGGCACCATGACAGCCCTGTCCTAACACTGCACTTCATTCCACCATGTTTTCCTTTTCAGACATAGCTAAATGAATCCTACTAGCCATATCCACTGTGCACAGAAAAAGCACTTATCATCCTGTTTGTGGTCTTTTGATTCTTGTCTTTGGCGTTTCTCCATTCTTGAGAAAAATGGAGAGGAAGAGGGCAGAGTTTAATATATCTGGGATTAAGCACATGCAGACAGAAATGACAGGGTCTTGAGGCTTTGCCTCTAGAGCTCTAAATCAGCCTTTCCTCATTTGTTGCTAAGTTGTGAAGAAGTATTAGGAAAAAATGAAATCATTCTCCCTTTCTGAATGCAGACTGTTCTGCTATACAAGGAATTGGTACAACATGAAATTCTTTTTTTTCCCTTGCTTCTTTCTCTCTGATGTTGACATGCAAAAGATAAGCCTCTGCTCTCAAAGATGTTCTGCCTCAAGAAAAGATGTTAATAGGTAAAAAAATAAGCAATTTTGGCTTTTGATAGCTGTCTTGCACATATCTGTGCAATCTCTATTTTAACAGCTTCCATTTATTAATGGCAGCTTCCTGCTGCCTTCGAGGAAACTACATGAATAACTGGGGAGGCAAAGCACTAGAAAATTGGGAAAAATAAAGTAAAGTTTTACAGGGGAAAGAAAATAGATTCTGATGTGGACTATTCTACTTTGTGAAATAATACAACAACTATTTCAAGAAAAAAAAAGTCATCTATGCATTTAGGGAATATTAGAGCCATGAATAATAAGCAGCGTGTGC